TTTAAAGAGCTAGCTAAGATTCGAAGAAATAACGGCCAAGCATTAAACTAAAAGTACTGGGCCCTGTTCTCTGGTAACGTGTGTGGTAACGCCTACCTGTAACGTTGGGGCCGCATGTTAAACGGGTTAAATAAAACAAGCGGGTTTCATAAACTTTTAACATGCTTTAAGTATCGTTCATAGTACCGTGCATGTTGGCTACCAGATTTTTTTTTCCCTCTAACCGCTAACTTCCACTAGTAAATGCAAAATATGTCTCGCATTAACAGTTGATTTTCAGATTTACTTTGAAAAAGCATACGGGATACAGGGTTCTGTTCGTAATTAAGTACAGAGGGCTTAAATCCTCTAAGTATGTTTTAGCAGTGCTAACATTTGTAATCTCTCCAGGTAAAAAAGTTTTCAGTTAACCCTCATTTGTGTGGGGTGTGTTAACTAAAATTATCTTGGAGGAAATGCTTGCATTTACTGTGGGTCATCTTACTGTTCTAAGATACTAGAAACGTTTCGGGGGGGGGGTTTCTTCTCTGTTTTAAGGATTGATGCACAAGCTCTGAAAAAGTTACCGTGGTGATTAGATGCGTGCAATTTACCTTTTGCAGTGACAGTATAAATATTAAGATATTCAGACATATGTAATGGCAGATAACAAAATCTTGATGTTAAGTCATCAGTGATGTCCATATATCATCCGTGCTTCAGAACTGATCTTGGCTTTTTTCTGCAACAGGAAGCAGTCCAGAAGATAGTCTGATGAGAGATGCATTCCAGTTTGAAGTACTGCAAACACAGCATGAAGAAATTAAACAGAAGGTTAGCAATATCTTCTCCCCTCTAAATGTCATATTTTTTGATAGGGCTAACTGAAAGGTGAGATAAGTTCAGTTCCAAGTATTTCATTCTAATCAAGTTGATTAGTAATCTTTGAAATCCATGGATCTATTAAAAGCATCATACTAGAAGCAGCTCTAGTAATACTAAGAGTGAGAGCAATATTTTATTTCTTGGTCATTTCAGATTACCAAATGCTAATTTGTCAGTTTTACTTGTTTCCTGTCAAATAGATTCTCCTCTGTCCTGTCAGCTAGTTAGCAAGAGTTCTTTTGTGCAACTTAAAGATTTGAGAAAGTAAAGTGGCATTTAAGTTACGTTACTTTGCCTTCTGATCATCCCTTATGGAAAGATACTATGGGGAAGAAATAGATGCGGAAAAGTAAGAAGGTACAAATGCCCGTACCAAGTCCATCCTTTTTTGGGAGACAGCTTAGGAAGACTATAAGACCTGAGCAAATTTATGGTGATACTTTACCAGAATAGTCTTTTAGCCTCTGCTAAAATTTCATGTAGGTACTTCGTGATCCAGAAATATTATACATGTCTTTAATATTCGATAGTGTATTTTTTTAAACTCTTGTGTGTTTGGTTTGGATACCTTTTAGTGTGAAAGAGGTCCGCAGTTTAACAACACATTGTGTCAGGAAATTTCTTCTTTGATTTTATTTTGAACTTTGCACCTCGTCATTTTCAGTGGATGGGTCTCGGCTGTTATGAGAGGCAGTAAACAAGGAATAACTTGTGCACAGCACTCACACCTTGATAGGCCTGTGTTTCCTCACAGTTGTGCTTTCTCCCAGATGGGAGGGTCCTACTCTGTTTACCTTTCTCTTGTCACCCTTACCTCTGTTCTCTGAATCTTTCCCAGCTCCATTATACCCTTCTTTATTTGGGAAGCTCCTCCCTGTACACCGTGTTCAACAGGGAGGTAAACCATAATTTTATATAGTGGTATAGAGGTGTCTTTTTCTGCTTTTTTCTCAGTGCTTTTCTGAGTAACTAATTTATTATCTCTCCAAAGTCTTGCGGTGGTGATGGCTGTTCAGAAAGTTTTAGAGACTACATATGTCGTGAAGATACTGTCTGGGGGTGGTAGCTTGTCTTACAGGACAGCATGCTTGTTGGCTGCCATGCTAGATGAAATATTATAATTAAATTATCATTGTTCTCATCCAAACAATGAATAAACAATTGATGTGTGTGACTAGAATACTTCTCAAAAAAAGAACATAATCACAGAGAAGGGGAAAGAGAAGAATGGTCTCTGACAGATACCAGGATGGTATATGAAGACGTGCCTTTGCTGTCATTTTATAATTCTGTTAGAGAAAACAGTAGCTGAGCCCGATTTAATCAGAAAAAGATTAGAAGCAACAATGCAGAATTTCTGAACTGGGTTACAGGAGCAATACCTAATTTTCAACCACATAATGATATAAATACATACTTTTGGTTATATACATTCTTTAATGGAATTCATCTGTTTGCAGCTGAAAGAAATGCAGGATGAAATTCTTACTAAAAATGGAGAAATTAAAATTTTGCGTGACTCAATGCAGCAGATGGAATATGCTATGGAGGAACAGAAAAGATCATACATGCTATTGGAACAGCAAAAATCTCAGACCTTAAATGAAAAAGAAAAAGAGTTCTCCAAAAAGGTTTGTAAATATGTCAATTACCTGCACATCACACGCAGAAGCTAATTTTATGACTTAATGATGTCACAGACCATCTAGTCAAAGGAAGAACATTTGTGTGAAATTTCCAAACGATGTATGCTTTTATTTTCTTATCTAGAAGAAAGCATTTGTAAGAACTTGCTGAGGGTTTTCTTCTACCGAAATAAAAGAGTAAAATTCAAGTAGTAGAGGTTTTTGTTTACTTGTTGCTTTTTTTTTTTAAGCAATCTCAAGAACATTAAAATTGGAATGTATTTTAAAATGGCAAAAAGCAACAGAATATGCTTTATGACTCTGATCAGATTGCTATTCCTGTTGCAGTCATCTTTCTGAAAGCCCTGAAGAGGACTGTGGCTGCTTTTGTCCTGTTTACTCTGCTGTTAACGGCCTCACTGTAGTCATGCTCTGCGTGGCATTTGTTCTGTCTTAACAAGTCATATGCTCCTTGCCTGAAATTTTGACACTTGGTTCTAAGATAGTATTAATTGGACTAACATACATAAAAATGGAGATCTTATGCAGAATTCTCAGTAAGTAGATGGTAATCTTGAAATCTGACGGTAATCCTAGTTGCTCTGCAGTTATAACACCTCTAAATTATTCAGTAAGAGTAAAACTGTCTTTTTAATTCCTCTTTCAGGTACTGTCATTACAGTCAGAGTTGCAGTTCAAAGATGCAGAAATGAATGAATTAAGAACGCGACTTCAGAACTGTGAAAGAAATAAACATGTTGCTCAGACGGTTTTAATGCCAAGGTAAGAGTTTTGGAGGAAAATGAATTTGTGTTCCTTTTTATCATGCATGTGCTTGAACTATTAAAGCGGTTTTGTTTCTTCAACTAACTCTCAGCTCCATTGTCTTTAAAAAATACAACCAAAGAAGTTGTTGACCTCTATGGAATTTGCTCAAAAAGAGCCTTCCTTTTATCTGTGACAGAAGTGCAAAGAGTTTATAGTGAAGTACCTTTAAAACATCAATGTAAATAGATCCTTGTTTATTGTTTAATAAGATAATTACAAAAGAAATACTGATTCATCTAAGTGTTTGATTTTTATTTTAGCCCTAAAAAGAATTTTGCAATACAAGTGAAATCAGAAGGATGTTCTCCACAGCCTGGAAAAAGATCTTTTCCTACGAAGGAAACCTTCAATGCTGAAACGTCCACTAGTCCATCATGTTCTTCAGGAAACTTGATTGTCCCGACTACTTCAATCAAAGAAGGTAAACCCACATACAACTTGCAACATTTTGGGCTGCATATGAACATTCTGCCTTAGATAAGGATTTTTGTATGATGTGACTGAATAGTTTCAGTAAGTTCACTGTAGAGAAAAACAAGTATTTGTTTTGTTTTTGCTTAAATTTCTTTCTGCTTTATACCAGTTGGCGTTAAATAGCTATGACTGAAATTTGCAAGGTCATTTTAATTCACACCTTGGTAATGCCTATATACCAGATGCCAAGATGTCAATGATGAAGTGGCTATTGGCCATAATGAAAAAATTTCATTTATTATGTGATGAACTAAAATACCCAAATTGTTAATCTGCCTTTCTCATTGAATAAAGAAGAACAGGAAATAATTTGCCTACTTCTTGAATCGGTCTGCTAGTCAGCTAATGCATTTTTTTGTATTCTTGGGGTTTTGGCTTTAGAGCTGACCTTTTTGGGGATTTTATTTTAAAGGGTACATATTTAACCGTATTGAAAGAAGCAACTGAAACAGTGTACTCACTTCCTCTTTTATGTGTAGGGCAGTAATTCTCACAAAATTGTATCTTGAAATTCACTGAGTAAAGCTTAGGAAAAGAATAAATGCATGTATTTCAAGATTGCTATAATATGAAACAAAAATGGTGGTTTTTTATAGCAGCCGACTGCCATGTTTCCAATAGGAAATAATAAATGGAAGAAATTTGGATATCATCAACTAATCCTTACAGGAAGAGTCATGAAAAATCTGAGATGTTCCTGTCAGTTACAATATTCAATCTGAAACTGTATGGGCAGTATGAACTCCATCAAAAAGAAAAATACAGTAGCCTTAAAGCATTAGTATTGCTATTTTTTCAGCCTCCTGACTGTTCATTATGGTAACAACACTCAATATGCTTATTTGTTTGAAAAACACACTTGATTATTTGTCTTCTGAACCCTGCAAGGCTTTTGGCTTCGGTTTGGCTAGTAATTACGAAATATATAGATGATTGAAAGATTATGAAATGCTCAAATTTTTTTTTTTTTATGTTGATTTTTAGCTAACGTGGTCATGTAAATCTCTGCTAGCAGTGGGAATTCAACTTAATGTATTGGTTTTTTCTAAAAGAAAAGTTGAGACCAATAGCATTGAACAATCTGCGGAACATCTGACAGTAAACGAGAAATTTTACTCACTTTTCTAATTTATTTTGCGGAGCAATTCTACTTGCATCACAGCTCTTAACTATTGTTTGACATATCTGAGTTATACAAGACAAATGTTTTTTACTGGTCTACTGTCTGTTTACTAATATATAACAGCTATGGCTAACTGAATGTGTGTAAAGGATAGGTACAGATATATAAGCAATGTAGTTCTCACATTAGACTCATAATTACTGTTTGTTTTAGACAGTAAGATAACCCATCCTGAAGTTTTATCTGTGAAGCATGAAGCAGTGGGAAAAAACGGTTCCTACAACTCTGCACCTAAACGAAACACACAAGGTAACTTAATTCTGTTAATACAGAAATAGTGAGCATTTCTGAGGAACAGCTCAGATAAGCAGCGTCATGCTGAGGAGCCTGCTACGTACAATGCCACTGCATAGAATAGTGGTGTTCAGCTAGTCGCTTTTTGCTTTGAATATTGTGATTTTGCAGTAAAACATTTCAGATTATATTATTATCTTGTATCCTAACAACACTCTTATGTCGTTATTCTATTTAAGAAAAAAGTTTGCCTGGTTTTTGCTTTATGAAAGGATATGGATCAAGAGGTATCTTACTACAAGTCTGGCTTTTTCAGTATTAATATATGATGCTTTTTATTGTAAACTGATTAAAAAATGGGAAAAATTTACTTTTTTTTTTAAAATTAAGGTAAAAACAATAAAGCAATATTACAGCTTCAACACCAGGAAGTCTTCAGGGTACTGTTTTATTTCCAATTCAGAATAGAATTGCATCACATAATTTTAATGTCTGGACTGGAACATGGAGGTCAAGTCATCAGCATAGTTGGGATATATGATCATTTGGCTCGAGCTATTTTGCTAATATGGGATTGTAATTAAAATATCTCTAAATATAATTTGGTTAATACTTAAATCATATCTTAAATTCATTTTTCTGAAAATCATTCTCATGTAAAGAAAGAAGATTTGTAATGAAAAAATTATTCTGAGGTTGAGAGCACTATAAATAAGGTTAATCTTTTGAAATATTAATTTTTTGTTGTTGTTGATGTTGCAGTTGATGGTAAAGCTACTCCAAAGACAATTATGTATCCTTTCAGGTTCTATCTTACTAAATGCATTGATGAAGCAGCCCATTGTCCCTGGGTCATTACTAGGACTCTGCCATCTTCTTAGCAGTAACTCTGAGCCTCTACCTGGAGCTGTATTGCAGCCTAACTATTTGGATACGTAAGTTGTTTTTTTTTTTTTTTGTTAAACTGTATCTGACGTGTTCTTAGTATAGTGGCATTCTCCATGCTAAGAAATGCTTATTCATGTAGGATAGCTCATTCCTTGTGTAAAATGCTGTTTTGCTTAGGCCATTTAATGCAAAATTTGGACCATCATTCTGCATCTTTGATTATCATAGATACTAAACAGTGGAACAACACTAAGAGATAAACTAGGTTAATTATGTATTAGGGGAGGGCACAGAAACATGTTTTTTAAGACCTGGGAGTGACTGTTAGCAGCTGCTATTGTTAACCACTTACGGACATAAAACTTGCATTGCAATGAGAGAAGCATATAAACATAATCATGAGTTAAATGGGAAGAAAATGTTGAAAATGTGATCAAAAGAACAGTAGGCTTTATATCTTCAAAGTCTAAACTATGTTGAATTTGTAACGTACAATTTATGTGCAATTTTACAATATATACTTATAGCGACAGGTAAAGCATTTTAAATATGAGTATTGGATATAAATTATAATTGGTTTTCACTTTAAAGAATTAGACTGTAGCTCCTGAAATACCTTTGCTTTTCTGATATCTTATTTTATTAGTAATTCTTGTGTTTTGTGGGTTCATAGCAAGGCTCATGTCTCATTGCCCTTGCCATTTATGCAAGTAGAGGTGGTGCGTTTGGCCTTTGTAGCTGCAGTTTGACTAGTTAATAGCTGAACTCACTCTCTCCCTCTCATCTCTGGCCAAGAAAATAATTTTTTATTTTTGTTGTAGTCCTTTAAAGGCTCCTACATATTACAGATCATTAATGTACAGATACCTGTTCTTCCCAGAAGCTACCAAATAACATGAGGGGAAGATAAGAATATATGACAGGTTATCAAAAGCATGAAACCAGGAAGCCAATGTTCGAAATGCAGTTTCAGACAATGGCTTATAGTGAGCTGCTGAAGTTACTCAGCTGTAAGCTCTGACTACTTTCACAAGACCTAGGAATACTTTGAAATTGCTCTTCCATGCAGGTATCAAGGAGCAGGATTTTTTTTTTCCCCAATTTACATTTTATTTTGAGAACAGACATCTCATTACTCTACCCTTTCTATTATTTGATTCAGAGTATGAATAACTCAAATTTCAACTATGTTCTCTGCCTTTTCTTCTGAAGTATTTCCCTTCTTTTAATTTTATTTGGATAGGAAGTCCACACAACTACCCAGCAGCAGGACAACTCAAGAAGAATTTGCTCCTTTTGTATCCCTGCGGGAAGCTCAAAAACTTGCAATAACAGGATTGAACTTGATTGCTATGGACGAAGGATTATCTGAAGGAAGCCCAACAGAAAGCCGGAGAGAGTTCTTGCACCTCACACGCTGCAAGATCCGAGGCGCCGTGCATCTCTTGCCCTTGGTAGAACACCATATTGGTGCATACTGTCAAGCGGTACAATTGGCGGACAAGTCAGTAAATGGTTCTTGTGGAAACCATTCAGCTGTTTCTTCCAGAACCAACACAAATATGGTGTCAAGTAAGGAGGACTTTAGGTTGTCTCTTGAAGAAACTACAGTTATATCACTGGGTATTCTTTATTATTTGGTGTTTTATAGCTGGGATGTTGTCCACACATTGCTATCTACTGAAGTGGAAAAAAGTTTTGTTGCTGGAGATGAACAGGTTTCCAAGATGGACAAAAATGTGTTGTGTGATAATAAAGAAGATACCAGGACACAAGGAGGGCTGCCTGTAGCTCCACAGGATGCTCCCAAAAACGATCGAGCTCAACATTCTTTGTTTAAAAAGCTGCTTCAGGTTTTAGCTTTTTCTGCTGCAAGAGGCTCCCAGACTGATAGTATACTGAACCAAAGCCTAAAAGTTTTAGTGAAATTAGCTGAAAATTCAACAATGGAATTGCTAATAAAGTAAGTCAGTAATAGCTTTAAAATTATTTCAGACTCTGTTGTTTAGCAATTTTCATTCTCTGTTGAAACTAATTTGTGCAGATGACAGGTAGAAGTTTTGACATGTATAAGAAAATATCACATTTCTCAGATCACCTTTGAGAAGCTGTTGAGGATCTTTCTATTGCCTTTGCTGCTAATGATTGTGATAATCGCCCCTGATCAGTAACAAGATTTGCTTATGATGCTTATATGAAGCAGATGATGTTGCCTCATTGTATAGCTGTCACTTGAAAGTGAGAAAACTTTTTAAGGCCATATGCAGTTGATCAGAATACCTGTAACATTCATTTTGGGTTTTTTGTGATTGCTGGGAGATGCATAAGGAATGAAAGCACAGGGTCTCATTCTGGTAGGTAAAATGCCACTCTCAAAAGTGAGACATTTCTTCTGCTAATGGTCTAATATTCACAACCATAGTATGAATTGCAGACTGACTGCCAAATGTAACGGAATATGTTTTTCAATATACTTTATATTTATGACATGTAAGTTGAGATCAGGTATGTTCTGAATGGCTAAAAAGGTACAAATTACAATGCTGTGTACAAGAAAGTGTATTTTCAACTTGTCAGTGCATTTCCCATTTCTAACTCGGAGTTTTCTTCTGAAGTTTTCAGCACTTACTGAGTAGCCAGATACTGCTCCGTTGTCTGTGTCCAGAGACCCCTTTGCCTGCTGTCCTTTTGACTGTGAGACTGTTGTCTGTTATTGCTCAACACCACATGTTGGTTGCTCAACTTTGTTCTCATTCAGGTAAAAGACTGCATAACACAGAGAACTGTTATCAGTTGAATGTTAGTTAGCATAACTAAAAGTAATGCAAACAGGCCTTGCTCCAAGGTGTTAAAACCCCAAAAGGCAAAAAGCCTGCTATGTTACCTGAAAACTTGTTTTCTAGTACAGTGTTTCAGTTACTGTTTGAAGAGTATTTTGTCTTGTGGTATCTGTCTACATACAGTGCTTTTGATACCCATGTGGATTTTTAAAACTACTTTCCAGATTAATGTTTATTATATTAAAGGTTGATGAGGAAAAAAGGGCTTTTGAGGAGTTTTGACGTTTAATTTATCTGTGCTGATGACGTTGTTGACTTTAGGGATTCCAGTACTCTGCATGACAAATAGTCTTTGTCCAGTTCCTTATGAATGAAGTAGGACAGTATTACCACAAATGCATATGTAAAGTTTAGGGATACTGATTTCTTCAGCACTGCTTAAGATGTCTGAAGTAAAGCAAGAAGTTGAGCCTGTATCATGAGTCCCAGGATAGCACTCTAGGTATTTTCTGAAATGTTTTCTTGTGTGACAAAATTAATTTTTGTCATAAACAATTGACTAGTTGGGAAAAGAATAACATTATCTCTATTTCAGACACCTGCCTTCTTCTTGCACTGTACATGTATATTACATCAAGACCAGATAAATCAGCATCTGAAATGCTTTGGCTTCAGCTGGAACAAGAGGTAACCACAGCTGTTTGTTCATATGCTTTTTCCTGCTATTTCCAGTTGGGGGAGTGGGAGGAGCAGGGAAATGCACAAATTGTCCGAAAACAAGTTCTTTCTCCAGCTGCAGTAGAACACTGAAAGTATTGGCTTGCAATAAGGGATTACATTTTTAAGAGTAGCTGCTTGAAACTGAATCAGTAACTATTCTTAAAGAGAGCATCAGTCATAATAGTCATAGTTAAGTCACTGAAAAAGCAAGAAAGATCCTAGGATGGCTTTAAATGTTCAACACTAAGCTTTATTTTGCTTTTAGATCAATAGAGGAGTAAAAGGAAGCAAGATCTACGATTCATTTTGATTATATTAATTACTTCTGAACTGTATTTATGAGTTACTATATATAAAATGCAGTCTGTAGCAACTTAGGATTATATTCATTGTATTCAGTGGAAATACTAGCTTGCTGTATAATAGTCATGATTATATATAGGAAGAATAGCTTTTGAATTTAATTTTTATTGTTTGTACTGACAGCAGCGACTTGTTCGAGGTACTACCATTTGCTCCACTTCTGCTCTCATTTGAAAGAATTTTGAACCATTTTTGTTATCCCCCTACCTACATTGTTATATTAAGCGTAAACACATTATTTGTATGCAGTGAATTAAGGCCCACTGCACCTTGTTAGCATTTCTCATCAGAAAGTTGAAAAGGTTTCTGTGCAAGGCAAATTCTATGTAAAGTTTTACAGGGAAAGAACTTTAACAATTTTGGGGGGTAAAAAAGATCAACTGTTAAGAAAAAAGCAAGAATGTTTGAAACTAGTAATGAAGTATCATTTCTACATCCCTTTATTTGCAGCTTAATTGTCTGATAACTCTGCAGAACCCTAGTACTCATTATAATGCAATCTGCGTGTTTTTGTAATAGACAGTTAGACTCCTAACAAGGTGTATGCGGTGTTCCAGTCCAGCGGTTTTATTACCTGGTACAGACTGCCAATGTAACCTCGAGGTATGTCACTACAGTGGGCGAGTTTAATCTACTGAGAACTTAAAGATACTCAATGCTGAAATAGCTTTTTGCCCTTTTTTTAGCTACAATGAAACAGAAGCGTACTGGACTTCAAAGGATGCCACCTTCTAGGAATCTTGCTTTTGCTTGCTAGAAAATATTCTGAAATTTAGAATTTTGAAGAGCTTAATCAGTAAAGTTCATAATGACATAAGTTTTCCGCTACTATAATTTTACTTTGTGTATTAAGACACTTTTTTGCTCTTGCAGGTGGTTAAGGCACTAATTATAATGTTACATAGAGAGTGGATGAAGATTAGAAGACCTGAGAACAGCTTGTGTGCATATAAGGAACAAATTATTCAGTTTTTGCGGGATGCTGTTTTACTCTTACACAGCCTATCTCAGAAAGATAAACTGTTTCATGAACACTGTTTGGAAGTTCTCCATCAATATGACCAAGCCATGCCGGGCATAAGAGCCATTCTGAAAAAGACTCAAAAATTGAGTGCCTGTGAAGGTAAAACGACTCAAATGATAATGTTGGCTTTTTTCCATGCTGTAGAAATAGAAATTCCACTTCTGTCCCTTTCCTTATTTAACAAGTACCAAATACCATGGATGTTTGTTGCTCAGACCTCTGAAAATGGTCCATAGCCTAGTGCTGCTCAAACTTCATCACACTGAATCACTACTATTCTTCTTTAATAGTTTTATCTTGTTCTTCTCTCCATAGAAATATGCCCCTACTATCTGATCAGACAAAATCCTATACTCCAGCTCTCTTTAGTAGAACAATCTGCACTATACATTACCTTATTTAAAAAAAAAATAATCATTTTTGCAAATCTCCAACTAGCATTACAGCTTCTCTCTACAATTGTGTTCCACCCCCCCCACCCCCCCCGCAATACTTAACATCTCTCTCTCTTCTTCCTCTTCCCTCTTCTACCCCCAACCTTCCTCCATTACTCCAAAAGCTTCTCTGGCCCGTGTCCATCAGTACTTGCCCCTTGCTTTGCACACTTCTGGTGTCCATTTCCTAGAGAGAGCTAATCTCGTGAAATTGCCTCTCCTCCTTGTACTTTGATGCCATTTCTTCGTTCACTCATGACGTTATTTACATGCATGTCATAGAGCTGATGTGAAGATTCTGCTCTTATGTCAGTACGTGGTTTGCTACAAGATACCAGACAAGGCGTCTGGTCTTATTCAGAGCCAGAATGATAAATCCTTCATTGTTGGTGTACAGATTGCATCAGTAAGGCAGGTCATGCAAGCATGCCACTATTAGTTACAGTGACTTTTCTGGAGATGCTAAACAGCGTGCCATGTATTTGTTCTACCCCGATTGCTTCAAGTGTCCCGAGGTTTTCTAGAACTTTGCCTAATACCTTGTCTATTTATGCTTGGGAGTGGACCAGAACAGTATAACAGCTTGTGATTTTGGGGATGGTGTGCATGCGTGTGCTTGCAAACCTGTAGTTAGCATTCAGTTTCTTCCTTTAAAACACAAAACACTATGCTTTTGTCCTAGGGGCTTTTTAAAATTAGTTAACAAAAATGAGGTTTTAAACTTAGTAAGTAATCAGAACTAGTTGTAAAATAACAAAGTGCCCTTTGCTGTTTTTCCACTAATAGCTAAATTTAATTCACTGTCCAAGATAGTTCTCTCTTTTAATGCCTAAAAAGGCACTAAAGAGAAGAGGGGGAGAAGTTTGTGTGACAAAATGCGTATCTAAAGACCTCTTTGCATTGAAAAAGGATATTTGCTGTAGCCTTCTACAGTCAGAATGTTTTAAAATGCAAACAGATACCAGCTATAATTATACTCTATCAAGTAGAAAAATGACTCTCTGAAAAGAAACATGATTTTGTTGTTGTTGCAGAGCTGATTTTGGATGAATTGTATCCTCCTGAGCCAGAAGCAGAAGACCAAGGAATGGATTCCAGCTAGCTAACGTCTAGCAAAGATCTCTCTCCTTCCTCATCTAAATCATAATAATCATTGCCAGTGTAAATCTGAAATATAAATTATCTGTTTTATTAAGTGATAATCTAAAGGTTGCACTGAAATGCAGCACAACTAAGACACATTTCTTTGTTCTCATTATTTTATTTAATTGCCATCTAAATGTAACTGAAAGCAAAGAAATTTCGATGTAAGAATTATACTGCAATGTACTGTTTTGCTGTGCAAAACCACTCAGTGGCTTATGACTGGTTCCGTTTATGAATTTCATCCTTTAGGAAATGGCTGTGAATGGAGTGGAAATTTCACTATTGTGTTCTCCATTTTACTGTGACTACAGCTGAATTTATGATGCCGAATGTGCCGAGATGTTTGGGATCACTGAGTTCATATGAAAGTCTTTTGAACATATTTGTTTCTCTTGCAGCTGTAATGCTTTCTTACTTGACTTCTAGTTTTTCATGTTGATATTAGTAAACAGTTTACTGTGATTTTAAAACCCTTTCTAGAAATAACTTACAGTTGGCAGCTCAGTTCTGAGCAAGAAATTCAAAGCCCTGTAACGATCACCTGAGAGTTCACTCATTTTTCTCAATTTCATGAATCTGCTGAAAGTGTAACTATTGAAATGCCAAAACAAGAAATACTAGAACTTACTTTTTCAAAAAGGTACCTTAGAAGAGTAAGATGGTAATGTTGAGGAGAGCATTCCATCTTACTAGGCGAGAGAAGGGTATTTAAATGTGTGGAGAATGACTGGTTTTTTGGTTGTAGTATCTGGAGAGGGACTGCAGTGAAGATGAATGAGCACCTCATTCCTAGGATACAGCACTGAGGATTGGAGGAAGAACTGTTGCTATACCCTTTTGAGTGTGTATGATTATCAGCTGTCATACTCAGCTGCAGGTATCAGCTGAACCTTAGACCCTAAAAAGGAAGTGTGAGGGCTACTAAAATGAGTCTCAGGTTTGTTTTTAAATAATTTGGAAAGCTTTTTTCATTTTTGACAGATACTTGGTTCAGAACAAGCCTGGCTCCAGGGACCAGGAGGAGGAGTACTACAGTGGGAAGGAAGCCCTTGGAAAATTGGGAAACATCCAGTTCTCTGGTCATAACCCAAAGAGGCTGTGTCCTGCCCTGGTGTGCCTGGGCAAAGAGCCCCACTCCAGTGTGCTGAACAAGCTCTTGACTTGGCTTTCACTTTTGAAGAGAACTTTCCCAGAAATCGCTCTGCAGGAATAACCCATCATCTCCCTAGGGCCAAAGCTCCTAGGTACAAAGCTTCACTCCTTCCTCCCACAACATAGCCTAGGGATAAGCCTCCTCCTCTTTGAGCAACAGCTGGCAGAGCTCCACCAGGCATGGCCTGTTCGTTTCTGTAAAACACAAGCTGCCAACTGCTGCTCCTAGTAGCAGGTTTCAAGTCCCTTGTAGCATCTGGAGAACTGCTATTTTCCTGCTTAAATGCAGCAAGGAAGGACACACAGGCACACAACAGCAAAGCCTTCTGAGTCCATGTATGCTTGCATGGTAACTACCCTAGAACTGACTGCCACCAGGGCACTGGACAAGACATGCTACAGAAGTTTCAGCGTGACAAAACCATTTGACTTGTCCACTTTAAAAAAAACCAGAACAAAACAAAAAAAAAAACCCAAAACAACAACCAACCCAACAAACCAACACAGCACTTCCTGGCCTTTAGGATTAGAGAGAAGAGCTTGAGAATGTTAGTAAAAAGCCCCTTCCTTACTCAAAACCAAAATAAACATTAAGATAATTCTTTAATAATAGCCCTATGAGCATGAGCAGTGGTAAAGCAGTATCTAGCAGTTAGCCTGCTGTGAGTGGCAAACTTAAGAGCTGTCCTGACAGTTATGATGGTCACCATATCCCAAAATGCAATGACCTGCCATCACTTTTCAACTGCTTTATGCTGTTCTGACCACGCAATTTCTCTAAACGTAATTCGAGTTTATAGACATAAGATTCATTTAAACCCCTTCTTTGGGTGAACAGACCAAATGAACTGTTAAGAGGAGTTTGGACGAAAACCAGTTAAGAAATCCCAAATTGTTGAAGCAATCCAGTTATAAAAACTTGTTTAAAAAAATCCTGGCTTCGTCTAAAGGGCGTGTGTATGGCAACTTGGTAAGAGGGAGAAGTGTATTACTGCTAAACTTTACATAAACAGAAATGTTATCTGTGGAAAAAAATGCTAGGAAAATACCCCCAACTGTTCCCCTCTGGCACTTGCATCCCCTCCCATCCACCCACTCTAACAGACAACACCCTAACATGTACATCTACACTCTGATTGTTTTCTTCCCACTTTGGACTTTAAAGTGGTATAGCCCACACTATATACAAACAAACCCAAAACCCTACACCTTCACTGCTAGAAATGACAGTAACATCATGGTATTGTGAAATTAAACCATAGCTTTTAAAAATGAAGGCATTTTCTGTAACTGAAAAGTTCACGCTCCTAAGCAAAAAGGAGCCTGCACTCCTAAAGAGAAAAGGCAGACACGGGTATACCTACAGAACTGCCATAATTCATTATTTCTTAAGTCATTTACAGTTACCAATCTTTTGTCAGGATTATTGCAAGATTGCACTGACCTTCAGTAATTCTTCCCTTTTTACATTCTCGTGGGATTTTTTTCTTGGGATTAAAGAGATCCAATCATGTATGCAACAGCTGATCATGTCCTGAAAAAACCTGAAGCATTTTTACAGATTATAGGTCTACTGGTTTACTATCTTCATGACCTAAAAACAGAACTCAGACTGTTCTCATCAGACACTCCCTGAAGAATTCACAGCATAGCAACTATTTTTTCAAAGCCAGTTTGCATTTTCCCCAACATGTTATAGATAAGCTGTGCCTCTGTATTAACTGAGAAAAGGAATTTACTCAGGCATCAAGCACGGTCCCAGGACTGAATAATGAAGTATTGAGCAACAAAAAAACCCACTAGTCATGTTCTATACATGATTATCACATTCCTCAGTCAGCAACAGCCACCCATCTGTCTTCTTGCCCACAGGGATGGCAACTAGAGTTTCCGCTTTGCTGAAAGCTGAGCTAAGTATAGCTGGCTTTTTCCTCCCCAGTGAACTGTACTGAGCAGACAGGACTAAAGCTAGGCAGGAGCTGGATGAACAAAGCAATCGCCTCTACTAGCTTACCTATTACTCAGGCAACTTTATGCAAAAAGGAGGATGATAGCCTTGCTGACTTGTATTTTAAGATCTACTGACACTACGCCTTGAACAGTCGCAGCGCAGGAGGTATCATTGCATTGCTAAGCATCTTCCTGTGGTGGTTCAAGGAGCTGAGGTACCGCACGGATTCAAACACACAGCAGTTTATTTCTACTAAAGCTATGTACAGAGATAAAGTAAATGATGATTCATTGACTAAAATGTTTAAGGAATTTCACAGGTAACACCTTATTTTCTACAACTCATAGAATCATTGACTAGTTGAGGTTGGAAGGGGCCTCTGTGCATCTAGTCCAGCCCCCGATCAAAGCAAACTTCCACAGACAAGACAAACAACTGTTTTGTGTCATGTCAGGCCTCAAAACACATTTTTATAAACCAAGCTGTAATAGGTGAAGATGGCAAATACAAAATACCTCATCATGTAGCATGCAACATCTAACCTGAGTTGTTTTTATTCATATTGATCCCACTTGTTTGAACTACTGCTTAAGAAAGTTTAGCCTGTGCTAGGCTATTAGAACAGTAAGTTATTTTAACCGTTGAATAATGTTTTTTATGTTAGTTACAGTCAGTAATATTAATTATTTACGGTTATATTAATTGAGGTCAAATGCAGCACAGATCTGCCTGTGTAAAGACTCTGTGTTATGTGCTGTGAATGTGATAGCAAATATAAACTTAGGTTCACAGTGTAAATTGTTAAAAATAAAAACTATTCATCATTTATTAGAATTTAGCAGACTGATAAGGAAAAGGTGGTCTGTGAGCTTTATAAAGACCTACAAACCCACTGTGGCTGACATTTATCAAAATGCTTCCAAGAGCGAGGGCCAACACGTTCGGTATGAACTGCAGAGTCTTCTAACAGAGGTAACACAGAACAGTAATTTTTTTTTTGTCTATGCATTAGTCATATTGTAGGCTGGTATTTTGAGAATGTAGCTGAACAATTTGTTTTGCTAAAGACCTCCTTTACAGCACAGCTGTGCTGCGACACCTGTCCAGCAGTCGGTAAAGCAGATCCTACCTGGTTCCAGAGCCAAAGTAACGTGGGAGAGAGAACCACGAAAACCACCTGCAGGAGCAAGAAATGTTAGAAAGTCTCCAGTAACCGATTCAGAAGTTATTTTAACTGCAGTAAGAGAAATGAGATATCAGAGGTTGATTTATACATATCTTGAACTGTTCTTCACTCTAGTGAAACAGCCACCCAACTTGTCGGTTTGCAGGAGAGGAGGGACAGCACTGAGATGGAAATGGCATCGCTTCTGAACCCGCGCAGCATGCTGCAGCCCCAGGGGAACCAGAGAGGGCCCGTGCCTCAACGCGCCAGGCAGAGCCTCCTCGCTATCCAGTATTGACAAAAGTAGTTAGTTGTGTCTCAAACCTAAAGAAATCACTTTACAACAGAAGGACATCCTTTATAACATGGCTAACTTGCCCTTAGTGGAGACTGCCATAAAAAGGTGAAGCAGAGGAAATTATTCGGTCAATACAGATGCCTGAGCTCTTGAAAGGATAAAATAACTTACTCTTTTCAGCTTTATCTCACCTCTAACTCAAGTACTTCTTTTCCCCTCCTACATGGCTTACTTCAAAGCTGTAAATCTGACCAGGTTCCTGCGATGCAGGCTATACTAACAAGTAGATGAGGTCAAATAGTAACTAGAGAGGAGAAATAGGCCCCAAACCACTGGCTAAAGCAAACCTGGCAAGTTATCATACGTGCCTAGATATGATACTAAGTTTCCATACTTTAAAAAAAAAAAAAAAAAATTGCTTTTTTGGCAATAATTGCTAAAGTTTTTCCCTCCTTTCTGTCCAGCTCCTCCATGCAACCCTGCCATGGGTTTTAAGATGCATGCCAAGTTTTGTTCTGGAAAAGTTCACACTACCATAAACAACTGCTGATTAAACATTACAAAAACATAACCAGCAGTATTCCTCACATAACCCTGGGCTCTCAATTTTTCAGTTCAGCGGTTTGCTCTCCTATACGACATTTTATTGCAATTTGAGAGGGTGAAGGTACCTTTGAAATCCCATGTGCTCAATTAAAGCAAATCTGAAGGTTTTAAACAAAACGCTAGCTCCTGCTCCTCAGACCTGTGTGCAGAGAGAAGGGAAGGCACACAGCTTTTCTCTGAACAGAAGGAGGCTTCTCTCATGTCACTTCTCAAATTCAGCCATATTGCACAGATGCACCTGCTAAAAAGTCATGGGAAAAGAAATACAGATGAACTAAAAAGTAGTGGCAATAAAACCATCAGAAATAACTGCAATTTCCTAGTATAATTTCTAGCCCAAACATTAACTATATTTGATTTCTAGATTTAGGTTTTTAGGAGCATACATTTTGTCTGCTGTCCGCAGTTAACTAACAGAAATTCTGTTGAGAAAATGTGAAATAAAATTGGAAGTGAAATGATCTACATTTCACCTGCAACACATTATCAGCCTGCAGCTGAAACTCCAGCAAATTCAAGAAACAACATTACAAAACTACCCGATTATTCCATAATAAACAACCCTTTCAGAACAAGTTTGGGGTTGGGGGTGGTTTTTTGTTTGTGTTCCCCCCCCTCTTCTAAATCCTACTTTGGAAACTTAGCTGGCAATTCAAGGTGATAAAGATTCGATACTGAACACCCTCAACCAATTCAGTACTACTTGGTGTCTTATAAAAAGCATTCTTGACCTGCTCAAAGAAAATATTTTCAAGTGCAAGACTAACGAGTCGGGGGCACAAACACAACCTTTTAAAAGCATTTTTTTCAAAACGATTGAAAGTACACAAAAACATCAGCAAAAATGTTTTCACACAGAGTACAAAGCATCACTTACCACACGTTGAATTGGTCAAGTTGATAAATGAGGCATGATACTCAACACGTAAGTCAAAATACATGTTGAGAAGATATTAAACTTTAATCAAATTATAGACTTCTTTGAAGCCTACCATCTTGTCTACACTAGACTTTTCAAATGTCTTGGGATTTGTTAGCTAAAGCATTCAAGCTTCATGCATTTAATTTACTCCTTAGGCTAGACAAAGCTTTAGAAGCAATCCTTTTAGATTAACTTTGAAGCATACTGTCAGAATATCATTCAGGAGCTTACATTGTCCTTGCTTTATATTGTGACCTGTAATTTTGATTAGGCTTCAGTCTCCACTACCAAAAGTAATATTCATGATACTAGGTGACTTAAAGTATGCTTGGTAAGACTAGCTGTCAAACACAATGAAGTAAAATGTAGCTTTGCAGATACACTCCTAAGTAATACTCAAATTGAGGCTAATAAAACAAAATTGATAGAATATATTTCAAACACTGCATTTATTACAAAGGTGCATAGAGTTTATGCCATTTCTTGTGAATATTTACGTTTAAACTACAAACAACATACAAAGCTAGGTTACAGTATGTAATAAAATCAACAATGATTATCTAATAAATTCAGTACAACAGAATATTCTACTGTATTTAATTTCACAAAACATTTCTGAAACAAAGGCACTTACAGAATTAAAAAAAAAAAAAACAAACCATATACTCTTTCAATATTTAAAATTTTAACTCCATTCCCCCTCCCCTACAGCACTGTGGATAACTAGTTTGACATGAAGGCAAGAGCTACTTGGACTGACACATCAGCAGTGCTTAAACTAAAAGTTTATGGATCAACTTCTCCATCTTTTCTATAACCATCCCATTCTCTTAACTATATGAAAACCAGTTTCAACAGGTTGCATGGCAACAACTAAATAAAATTTGGTCCTATGCCTTACTGTTAATGAAGATTAATGCACTAACAATAAGAAAAGATCTGATTAAGTGCTCCACTTATGAAGTGAGGTAAGTGGACCATTTTCTCTTCTTTTAATGAGTGTTGTATCTGAAGTAGTAATACTACTACTAAAGTAGTTCCTTGTATATTAATGATTCGTCTCTTCACTTGTATGTAGTGATCATTAGCATATGTTCACTAAAGGAAACGTGTAAATTTTCAGGCTCCTTAACCCTATCCCCTCATCTCCTCCCACTGCTCCACATACAGTGGTGTTCAGGGCAATTTATTTGGTCTGTACATCATCTACACCAAAACTTCAGATTTGGGGACCTCTATTATTGTTGCCACTTTACTTTCCTACTATCTTTTACTTAGGTATGATGGCAGATGACTGAGCCGACTTCTCATGAAACTGCAGATTTTCCTTTCGTAACCAAAACATAACCATAACACTGCCACGAACTGTACGCTTTGTCACATCAGATGGAGGAAAGGAAGAGCTGTGCAGAGTAACAACCTCACAAAGCTCAACACTAGGACGCTGTACCTGTGCTCCGAGAGCTGCACAGCAGCTGTGCTTGCTGGCTGCATCTCACCAGCCAGACTCCATCCAGGCAGCTGGCTTACAAAGGTGCTGGAATAGTCTCTGCCCTCCTCCTATATGAATAAACACACAGGGGTAGATCTATAGCAAGGGAATTATTTCTGCAGTTATTCAGTGCCCTCCCACACATAAAAATTCCAGATTTCTAGGGAAACACTTCATCCTCCATACAGGAGACACTGTCCATTTTTGGTTGTTCTCACATAACTCCTAACAGTGTAATGAAGCATTGCCCAATTTCTCGGCTTACAAGGCAGGAAAGAGGAGGAACACACAGATACAGGGCATGCATGCTCTGTGAGTGCCTCTTGGCACCATTTCATGCTATTAACTTCAACACTTAGAGAGGTGTAACAGAGGGTCATAGGTTATCACGAATCCCAATGCTAAAAACTTTCTACAAGTTTCTTCTGAAATGCCCTGAAGACTTTCTTGAAAAAAGAACTGGAATAACCAGAAATAGACTCAAAAATCAGGAAGAGAAATAAGGCTGCCTTTGACAGCAGCAGTTTCCATTTATCATATGAGGTAAAACAATGCCACCATCAATGTTTTTCAAACAGTAATATAACCCAAATGTAGCATCATAGGACAAATGGTTTAATGGCCTCTTTAAAAAAGGAAAATCATTATATGAGATATGTCAAAATTATTTCACTAATTATGTCACAGTGATATGTATAACAGACTAGATTGCTCTACTGAGGAATAAAAAATTGTATTTCAATGTTAGAAAAGACAGAATTGTAGAGGACACTAAAAAAATCGTGATTCATTTGATCAACACAAGGTGCATAGAACCAAAAGCCTTGCAAACACTGGTAACAGTCATGAGGATGTCTCAAGACATTTCATGACTGCAAGCACTACATTCTTGAAGATACGTTACCTCGCTGTGGCCAAATCCTAACACTCTTCCTTTCCCTGACTTCTCGTTCTCTGCTCAGCTTTATGGGAATGTTGAAGACAAAAGGGAGGTTTCATCTCTAGTGTGTGTTGGGCTGGGATTTCTTATCCCCCCTGCATACTATTATTCAAATGCAGACAGTTTATAAAGATCTATCATTCCTAGGTTCCTGATGTCTACAGTTCCCACTACCACTAGAGACAGACAGTGATAAACCCTAAGCACTTAAACCCCCAATCTACTTCTGACATCCCATCTCTCCTGTAAAATAAATTCCTTCCCTGTGATGAGGCAAGACTGAACACTGGCAAGTACTTCTGCTTAACATATGATTAAGGTGCTAATTTTTCTTCCATACTCATCAACAACATACGACTTAAGTAAGCTTGTCCAATAATACTTGGACAACAAAGACTTGTCCAATAATTTTTATGAAGAATTCTCAGGTTTTCAGCTTTTGATCTATTTGTTCTACTAAGTGGCAGAGAGTTTGGTTTTGTTGTTTACTTCTAGCTATAAATTAAAATGGCCCGACAAAACACCCAATGAAGGCACAGTTTTTAAGCCTCAAAATTGGGAAAAGAAAACAAGGAAATTATCAACTCATGCTATTTAGCACAGAAAAAGGCAACTAGTCCAAAGACAATTAAATGTGGTTTGCCACCCCTTACTGAAGGCAAATGTGTTTCAAAAAAGGAAAATTCCCTTTTGAATGGTAAATGAAATGTATTACATTGTAGGTTACCTAACAATAGTAGCTTCAAAACAGGCAGAACATATATAACATATATCAGGTAGTTTCTTAGAGATTAAGTTTTTATGTTTTAATACTGTGCAAAAGATTGCTACAGCTTTGGGTGTTTGATAATGCTCATATTAGACCATTCCTTTCAAAATTATTGCACAGCAAATGTTACTGTGGTTCTTATTTCTGAAGTACTCCTTCATGCTTTTCTCATTGTATATAGAACAAAATCTCTTTTTGTATTTGCTTGAGGTATAAATTAACAACTTCTGCAAGAAAAATACTCCTTCCTCTTACTCAAAGCATTTAAAAAAAAGATACTGAATTAACTTTCACTTTACTTAGACAAAAGATTGCTGTCGTCCAGAAAAATATACTACAGTTGCACGGTGTAAACAGCACAAATTATACTTTAAAAAGTATTGTATGCAGAAGCATAGTAGAAGATCTTTTCAATAGGTGGGCTTCTGAGGATCCACATAAGCAGGGTTGTAAGGGGGCTGGCTGATTGGGTAAGGTGCTCCAGCACCAGCTGCAAAAGCAAAACACAAGAAAAAAACAGATTTATAAAATTTACATTCTGAATTCTACATCTATAATAGCAACTTCTGTTTTGAGCGCACGGTTAAGAAGTTCAACTTATCTAGCATCTTAATTGGACTTGAGAATAGTTTGTGCTAACTCATAAAGCATCCGCATTTCGAAAGTAAGATCACAAAAACCTGTGGTTTTGTGGGTTTTTTTTTTTTTGATGGTTGAGTGTACATGTGTATTATGGCAGCCACAAGCACATGGTTAGCCTTCAGGGGAGAGCAGAGTCTAAAAAAAAAAAAAAAAAAAAGGAACAGATCTGGTCCAAAAAAACAGCCAGTGGAAGTCAGAGAAACACAAACAACAAGATATACCTGACAGTATGCCAAGAAGTGAAAATAAACCACTGGGCAAAAGAAAAAGGACTAGAGAAAGCATCTTAGGATTCCTTCAGGGAAAATGTGTCACAGAGTTAATTAAAAAATTAAAATAAAAAAGGGAAAAAAGTGTCCCACTGCTACCAAGCACATTAAAGAGTTTGATTTATATACTAGATGTATATCACTCAGAAGATATCCTTATTTCCTAGTATTCTGAGACAAGCTGCTCTCAAGCAGCACCTTCATTTTCAGGTCTGTCAAATAACACAAGTTAGTTCAAATAATGCAGCACCTGATCAGATCCCTGGAATGTGTAAGTGTGGTTATCTTTTGCTGATCTTGTAAAGTGAGTGGGTTTAGCTCCTGTGTGACAGAGCAGGTATTCTCTCCCTTGCATGTGACCTAATTAAGAGACTGCCCCTTGGTTAATAGACAAGAGAAATAAAGGAGAGAGCTCTCATTTTGAGGCATTGTCAGCTGGCAACATGGAAAGTGCTTTGAGATTTTCCCAGAAAAAAAAAATATTTTAAGAACTTAAAAACCAGCAACAGTTTGAGAAACTAGAGAGTAGAAGTAAAATAACTAGTTTATTGTCTCCCTCACATGATAAAGGTGAAGCCAAAGCACTTCGGGGTAATCCCATAAAACCCACAGCTTCTTCAGAGTTTACAACAGAAAAATAAAGTCAACAGGCCTGCCAAAGTCAGTGTTTTTACATGCGGAGCTGTTTTGCGCATTGTATGTACAATTTCTAACTGGTTTACAAATGCTTAAGACGATGAACAGACATTTTATATTTGAGTTGACATGAAAGAGTTACTTTCTAAGGGCATTATATACTATTCGGGACTATACTTTGCTTGTTACTTAGAAGGATGAACAGTGTGGTTTGTAAGAGGGCTTGAAGATCCTAGGACAGATAACAGCCTAATTTTGGCCCCTCTGAACAGCCAGGAGCCAATTGTTCAGAGAACAGCTATTAAGAGCAGAAGTAGGAATTAGTAATAGCAACAACAAAGCTGCATGAAAACAATGCTGTGAAAGAAGGAAAGCAGAAGAAAAAAGATTCCAATAATTATAACTGTTAGTCATCGGCAAACTTGTCTGAAGTTGATCAGAAACTTGTTATTCTATAAATGTAGCGACGAACTACTAGAAAATGCCATCTGTGTATAGATTAAAATATCTAGCAAATAGTAGATTAGAAAGAGTAGAAACACCCAACTACTACACACATGTTAATTGGACTTCAATTTTAATATGAAGTTTCAACTAAATTAGTAAAACATTCTACTGGATCCACTGATAGTCCCACATACCACCAAACTTTGTCAATACAGCTCCAGCTACATCTCCTCTTGCAATGCTTAACATAGAAATGGTGATGGGAAAACTTCAGCAAGGGTGAATTACAGCATCCACCATCACTTGAGTTTTTACATAATTTGTTTACGCTTACATTAATATAGTCATAGAAAATAATAAACGTAAATAATACAAGATTGGCTCCAATGCAACTGTCTCTTTAAGCTATTTAAGAGATGAAGAAACACCCAGCATTGCCTTACCTGCCACAGTTTCATGATAAGCTGGGGGTCCTGATGGCTGCATGGGGTAAGGGGGAGGATACTGTGCAGGGTACGGTGCTACCGGCATTCCCGGTTGTGGCTGGATAGCCACAGGCTGATATCCCTGATACGGGGCTACGGGGTAGTTGGGTGGCACTCCCTGTTGTTGGGGATAGGGAGCGTGAACCACTGTAGTGGAAGTAGTGGTGGTCACAACAGCTACAAACAAGCAAAAGGAATATGGTTAGTGCTGGTGGTTTCAGGAGATCACCTGGGACAGCCAACAACAGTGATGTAAAAAACATTCTCTCTTAAGATCAATTTCTCACTACAAAATCTGGGTAATTTCATTTTCCAAGTTTCACAACAGATTTAGAAATGTATGCCTCTAAATACCCTTCTATTGATCTCCGTGGTAATGAGAGCCTTCACACGCTGGGATAGCAGCCAACTTACCTGCTTGTTTCTCAACCACAAAGAGCAATGAATTTTTTTCTTGGACTCTTCAAAAACTAGGAACTCAACCCTGCAGCCAAATTATCTAACATTTGGTGTGAGACTGGAAAAACTACGCATTTTTAAATGTTATCTGCTTTTAAGGATTAAGGTGATAAAGATCTCCTTTATTAGGTAAGGAGCTTCCTACCATGATTGCCCAAAAAAGTTTCCTTTTGTGTGTGGTCTACACACTAACACATCCATGTGTTAGTATGTCTTTCTCTAAGTAACAGTCAGAAAGGCAAATACACATTAAGTAATTGATTTTTGTAGGAGCTAACATTGGATCATTGGTTCGTGCCTCTTATTGGAATAAGGGAGTATTAACACTTTCTAACAAACTGTAATAATTTGTTTTTATGCTACAATTATAGACTTTGCTCAAGATTGCACGGCTGCAGTCCTGGGCCTTTGGTGTATTTTTCAGGTATATTTTTAAGAGACTGGGAAAAATTTAAAATTTCATCCTACCCCCTGCTTACCTAAACAAACAAAAAAAACCCCAACCAAACCCCTCAAAAAAACCCAAAATCAACACATTTGGGGGGGCAGGGAAAGTGAACTTCTAAATGCTTAAAAAGTATTCCAAAACATCTCTGCAACTTCACGTTCTGAGGCAGCTTAAATGCTTATTTTTAATATTTAGGTATTGCAACTTTTGTAGCAGAGAGGTAAGGCAAGATTACTTTTACCTTTTACAGGAACACAATGTTCCGGGCTGGGGGCGGGGGGGGAGTGGGGAAGAAAGTCTTGTTCAAAGACATGAAAAAGAAAATAAATATATACAGATACTTACGCCGTGGTCTTCGACATGCTTTATACAAACAGCAACACGAACAGGTGAGGCACAGAATAATAGTAATTACAATCACCGCAAAAAGAGTAATTCCAATCGCAACAAGTGTTCCAAAACTGCAAGAAAGATACCACCAGAAGTAGTAAGAACCTTTCACACAAATTTATTACTCTTTAACCTAACCTGTAGGAAACATGTTGCTCCTCCTCCAGTCTGTTACTCTTACTACTTCATGCATTTGAATAAGAAACAACTGTCAAATGCAGCGCTACGTGAGATCAGGTCTGCTAAATCAGTGGAAGCTGACCAACCCCTACCAAGGAGTGTGCTCCCCTGGGCATGAAAAGGACCCAACGCGAGTCTTTGGTCCCTCTCATTTTAGTGTGACTGCCATTCTTGTTATTTTAGTGCAACTGTGTGTCCCTTTACATATTCCAAAAAGTTACAGTGATAAGGTTTCAAAATCACTAGTTTGATGACTTTTCCAAGCATTACTTGACTGCTCTGAACACACAGGTAGGCATGCCTGAAATGAAGCACCCCAGACTTCAGGGTGACAGCAAGTTCTTCGCACATTCGTAAGACCTCCCAGGCCCAATCTCAAGACAATCTTGGTACTGAGCAGACCTCTCCACGCTGCAGATTCTTGGCAGGTTCCTTGGCATTTGTAAACAGTTGTTTTAGAAGCCACGTTTCACATGGTTTGGAAGATCTGAAATTCTGCCAACTTTACTGCAACAGCAAGTATGTTATGCTACATTATAGGAGACAGAAACACTGCCTAAACCACCAAAACGAGTACGGAAAGGCCAAAGATTACCCCAGCTTTAATCTCTGTGATGAGTACCAAATGATGGAGGCAGACATAAAGCTTCCGGAGATGACTGTTTATAAGTTCTGTTTATCACACAGGGAAGAAAAAGTAACACTGTAAAGCATTAAATGTCTAGTGACAATTCCCTTTTAAGTGTTAATTCACATGATCTGTTTCCCACTGCCTGAAATCAATAAAGCCCTTCTTCCACAGAAGCCAAAGTCTCCAGCATTTTTATTTCTTAAAAAATGCACCATGCATCAGTTTTGGGAACAATTGCAGGAAGTCAGTTTTAATGAACAAGCTCTAAAATAATGAGTAGAGAGCTGATTTTACATCCATCCTGTTTTTGCTTCTTCACAGAGATTTTGGCTACAGAACTCTATTTTTTTTCCTGCTCAGTTTCCTGTTAACAGCTTTAAACAAAATGACACATCTCCAGAACCTCCAGCAATTTTCGCTTGGCTACCAAACGGCCATCGTATGTGAAAATTGTTTTTGAGTATCAACGACACTGGAAAGTTAAATCACTGACAAAAAAAATGCAAAATGCTCTATCCCTAGCCCAAATTTGGAAGACCTCACCTCAGTCTTCTAGAACAACTTAACCCTCAATAAGCTGGACACTGAACATAAGCATTGACAAATAAAACAGGTTCAATGTAAAATGCATTTTTTTCCCCCCTAATAGCGGTTCCATCAATTTTATTCTGTTTCTACAACAGCTGTAAGAAAAAACTTGGGTCAAATCCTTTTCAAGAATCTGAGCAACAATTTTAATTGTAACTGTATCTAACTTGTGCATTGATTTTGTGAAGTACTGTAGAACACTATGGATTTACTCCCCAAGTACTAAATCTAATACTGTTGATTGCCTACGGTCACTGTACCTAAGCATTTACATGTAAAACAGGAAGCAGGAACTGCTGCAGTTCCTGAAGTCACAGAAGTCATGCCAGAAACTGCCAGGAAAGCAAACAGATGATTGCAACACAGCTGCAAAACGTAAAGATGCATGCATGCTTTGTCACGTTTATTTGCACCTTCACAGAATGTTTTTCATACGCTGACTTGCACATGCAAATGTATTTCTAACCATGCCGCTTTTAAGTGCTCCCCCCATCCTCAGGAGTGTTAGTTTCACTTCAGCACAGTAAGTTCACAGCCAGCTCATCTCCATCCAAAAATCCCATTTCTTTCAAGCCTGGTATAAAAAGGAAGATACAAATGCACTTTCAAGGGGCAGGGTTTGGGGGAGAGATAACATACACAATACCACCACATCCTGAAACAGGGGCTGCCTCCTGTCCATAAGGCCAACAGCAAACACACATCAAGTCAGTTTGAAAACACAAGCTGAATACTTGTGTATGCAGAAATGGATTAGATTTAAGAGTGACCTGTGGAATTTAGATTAATTATACAGGGTCCTTACTAGATACTCATTATATAAATTCATATATACACTGGATAAGAGAGAGAGACAAGTGTGGACAACGGATTCATACATTAGACTTAACCATCTTGACTGCAATGTTCACAAGAAATAGCATGAATGCCTGTGACAAACTACGGACACCTCTAGAAACTCCAAGTCAAACATTAACTATAATTACTGCTACTTGTAGTGCGCCAACAGGATTTTCCTTGCTCTTGTTCCCACTTCTGTATCAACCCTGAGAAAGCCCTCTCACTAGGGAAGTTAACATTTCCATTACACACAGTTATTACCAAGCAACATTAGCAGAGACAACAAAGGAAAAGAGTCTTCAAGGTTCTTCCTTGGGCTTTTTCCCCAGTAAAGAAGGAAAAAAACCCACCAACTTTTTTGCTAGTGAACCATGCTAAGAAAAGAAGCCCTTGTGTCAAGGAAAGATTAGGCCTGACAAAGACAACTAAAATTCTTTACTTCTACAGACAATGAACTTCTTTGAGCTTTAGCAAAGGCTGGGCAAAATCAAGGAAACCTAAGAAATGGAGAAAATAGACAAAGTGGAGAAAGATCTACTCATCGTAAATAAACTAGCACAGCAGGAAACTGGCAGAGAGCTCTTATCTTTCACAACCAAATTCAGTTCTGATACGACAAGAGAGAAAACAGCACAAGCCCATCTGCAGCCAAGCCAGCCACCAACAGATAAACATTGGTCAGTTTGAAGCATGGGCTTCATATGCTTATTTTTAATAAAGTTTTCTGCTCACTGAAGCACATACTTCACTGCATATTTACTACCTCTGATAAGGAAAGTGACAAAAGCAAAGCTCAGGGAAAAAAACCCCACCATATCCTTATTTTCACCAAGCTGTTGGAGACACCCTCTGCATTTTCATCATTTGTCTGTGTCTTTGTCAAAATGACACGACCACGGCATGATGACATTTTGCATACATCTTCTAAAGAGCCAAATGGAGACACATATTTAAAGTATAGGTGTGTCAGGTGTACACACTTTGGAGGGCAGTTCTGTGTTTGTGTGTGTAAACACTGTGATTCGGTTCTACCCACTGAAATACTGTCTGAGTACTACACACCAAAATTATAAGCCTTCAGAAACAGCCCAGTGAGTGAAATTACAGACAGGAGTTAGTTCTTCCCAGAGTTTTCTAAGGAATGTACACAACTGGATTACCGTAGGCATTTTTATCACCTACTTTACAGCAGAAGCGTAATTTTCCTGCCAGTGCTTGGGCTCATGCAGACTAATGTCTTGAAACAGCAGAAAGTAGCGTGACATTTACAGAAAACAAAACAGTATGTGCTATGAACTTGCAACAGCATCAACACCCTCTTTCAACACTGGAGCTCTTAAAAAATAACTTTTTTCCTAAGGATTTCTATTGATAATCAAAACTAGCAATACTCTTTCGGAATATCTGAATGGTCAGGCACTACCTTACTGTAATAAGGTCTGTCCTTTTACTGCCCAAGGAATACTGCCCTGAGCACTTCTTCCTGAATATTCAGTAACATCCCACTAGTAAAACTACTAAAAAAGTGCAGGAAGGCTACCACTAATATAAGATGCTACTCAAGTGAAGCCAGAATGGTGCTCAGTATACTTCACTCAGTGAACTGTCTAAGCTTCAGGAGACAAGATATTCCAGACGCTATATAAAGACGCTCTTGCAGTGTGCTAACTCCAGAAAGCCTATACTCCTTTCTTAAACAAAACTATTGCTTCATTTAATTGCTTTCACTTGACGAATCTGCCTAAAAGGACTCTGAAAATATTTGGAAAAAATATATTCACATTTAATTACCAACTGTTAGCATTATACATAAATGAAAAAGAATAGACATGAGGGATTGTAGCTTAAATATTCTTCCCCTGAATGGTTAACCAAGCAAAAAAAAAAAAAAAGAAAAACAAAAAAAAAATCAAACAAAACCCAAACCAAACAACACACCTTACCCCCTGCATTCTGCAAACAAATGTCAGCGTGCAGAAATCAGGGTGGCCACTGCACCAGATTAGAATGCTCTGCTGGCATCACAGTTTGAACACAGGTTTCCAGACTCCCACATTATATATACCATAGTCTCTAAATAAAGCACACACTGCTATAAACAGCTTGAGCTCATTCACTGCCATTTCCTGCTTCCTCCTCTTCACATAAAAGCTAACTTTTGCCAATAACTTAATAGAAAACAAAATTGAGGACAAAACCAAACCTAATAGCAGTTTTACTGCAGCAACGATAAACTGCAACTTCTCATAAAATCCATGGGAAAGTAAATATGAAGAGACGACTCCCTGCCCTTTCCTACCACCACCTCTCTCCTTTCTTGCCCTACTCCACTTCTACCCCTATTCTCTCACCTTTGGAAAGCACTAAATTGTATGTGTAATGAGCATACCTCACAGACTCTCCTTACTTTTAAAGTTGTCTAATTATTCAAAATATATATCAGCTCACATAAAGGGAGTTATGTGATTAGGGCCTGGTTTACCCCTTTTGGTACTGAATGAGACGCAATGGACATATTAAAATGTCAAACCCAGGATCTAAATAGTACTATTTGTAGAAGTTAATCCTCAAGGCAGTTGTTGTTTATATCGGAGATCTCAATCTTAAACATTGTCAAGTGGAAAAAAAAGTAAAATGCTTTGAGTGTATTTAAGGCCTTTTAAAATGTCCAAGTTTCAATTCCAGCAACATATTTTTAAACCTCCTTAGTATTTTGAATCACTTAAGTTGGTAACATTTCGTAAACCCTGCTGTAAACAAAGTTTTTGCATACCTATGCATTCATGACAATGGGACACCCTGCAACTTTTGTCTTTAAAAAAGAAAAAATAC